GTTGATTTGCATGCAATAGGGGTGGCCTTGAAGGTGCCATATGTAAATAATAATTGGGACAAAAACTGACTTAGTATTTCTACAGTGTGTCTCAAAAAAAAGTGAACCCTTTCAAATTCAAATTCAATGCAATTAGACAGCAGTCAAATTGCATTGAATTAATAGTTATGTAAGAACACAAGGAATACTGTATTTCTTTTAAATTTTCTAATTTTTATTTCTTTCAGTTTTGTCCCATGAGTACAAGACCTTGTGTTCTTACCCAATCATTAATTCAAAGCAATTAGAGCTGTCAAATTTGAAAGGATTCACTTTTTTTAGACACATTGTATAATTATATGATATTATACAGTATTCAGTGGCTACCTAGCCATGGCAACTGGCCATGCTATCCTAATAAACCTGCATATATTGTAATAAACATACAAAAGCAAGAAATTATAAGCATTGAAGGTGTTCATATAAAACTGCCCAATGCCAAGAAAGTAGAAATAGAATATTTATCTGACCTTTGACTTTGTGCAAGGTGTTTGATATTCAAATTGTACTTTTCCTACCTCATGAACATGTGTCTTAGGGGCTGTTTACTGTAAATATTGGAAGCCGGGTGATTTTAATGTATTGAAATAAGTCAACAGAATTCAAATGTTGTAGTTCAAGAAGATTACTATTGCTGCTTGAACAACCTTGCTGAATCGTGCACAGTAATTTATTTTAGAAGTAATACATCAAAATAATCCTGCCTGGCATCTCGTCCTGGCAAAGCAGGATCATGTATAGCCTCCTCCACAGGCAACTCTTTGGCAAGAATTGGCAAAAGTATTATTATGAATAAAAAATTGGCAAAAATGTGAATTTTATAGGGTTACACTCTGTGATCCCTAACAATCCCTAACTTTAAATTCGCTGTTATTCATAATATTTTTGCCAAAGAGTTGCCTGCGGAGGAGGCTAGATCATGGGGCTAGATCATATAAACAGTCCCTTATTTATCAAATTGCGCATGCTGCCTTTGATCCCTTGGGGGTGAGGCAGCACTTTCCTTGCGATAGTAACTTCTAGTAGTATCAGTATTATACTTTGAACCGATATACATTAATTTGGTCTTAGTTGGGTGGTGTTGCAGTTTATTTCGAGCAAGCCACTCACCGACTTTTTTCAGGTCATTATTTAGATTTTCAGTAAGTTCCTCAATAGTTTTGGCAGAAGTAGAAATTTGAGTATCATCAGCGTATAGGTGTGGCGAAGTTTTTTCGAGGCATTCGGGTAAATCATTAATATATAATAAAAACAGCAAGGGACCAAGAATTGATCCTTGCGGAACTCCGCACACAATCGTTTTAGGTGATGACATTGCACCGTTGACAATGCATGCTTGCTCTCTATTAGTTAGATAGGACTTAAACCAATCCAGTTCCACATTTTTTATTCCAAATTGATCATTCATCTTTTGCAATAAGATTGTATGATCAATAGAATCAAAAGCTTTTCTAATATCAAGGAAAACAACACCACTCAACTGACCATTACGCTTACTTATATTATCTATACTTAGCGTCGTTATTTTTAAAACAATTGTGGTATTACTACTTTACTTTTCTAACTATGTTTTTCCTAACCCACCATGTCAACTTTCCCTGTGGGAAGAAACAGGAGTGCCCTGAGAAAACCCACCATTTTCGGCAGGGGCGGCGTTAACCCTATTTTATTGGGGGGTGGAAGTGTAAGCGAAATTTTCCTCTACACATAAAACAATTCTTTGTCAGCAATTTTTCACAGGAACTCGAACGAGTGATAAACTTCTTTATATAATTCTGAACAAAACCGACTTTTACATAAAGAAGTTTAACACTTGTTCGACTGTTCCTGTCTAGTTCCGTGTTAATACGCTGTTACTGATACAATATTAACCTGTCAATCATAATTGTCAAGTTGAAGTAAATTTAATGTCAACATAGTTCCTTCGATCCCTTACAGAAAAAGAGTTTGTTTAGTTCAAACGTTTTTGTTTCTAAGGTCATGTCCAAATCCAAACCTTGTGAGTTTTGATTTTTTCTGTGTTGATGTAATGTACTCAGGTGAATATGATGCTTGTGATGTTACTCTGAGTGTGTATCCACACCGGGCAAGCTTGAAAAATATGCCTGACCACGGTGGGATTCGAACCTTGTGAGTTTTATTATAGAGTAAAACTCTATTAACTATGAGTAAATTAAGTGCTTCATGTTGACTGCAAATTCGTTTGTTTTTCGTTGCGAATTTTCTGAACAATTTATATTCTCGTTTTTTTTATCGCTGCTCTTCCAATATTATTCGCAGTTAAAAACTTGTATTTAAACCAGTTTCTAATATAGTGAATGTATACTTGCCAAAAACTTGTGTCGCCATCTTGTTTTTCGCTAATCGCGTCGTCACGGATCTCTACTACGGCACAGATGAAGTATATACTTACATACTTAATCTGCTACGGGGACGTGACAAGAAATAGCCTTAGGCTTAAAAATAACGGACAATTGTCACTACACTGTAAATTTTAAGGAGTTGAATCAACTCTAAAAGTGTCATTCTGTCGATCACCGTTTTTCGTGACAGAATACCTCTTTTGGACTTGATTCAACTCCTTAAAATTTACAGTGTATTGGAATCTAGCACATCCTGATACTATTAGGTCAGTAACGTCTTTTTTCTTCCGAAATGAATTTGAACAGAGGTAATCATGCACTGTCGCCTAGTAGACTACTTCACTAATAACTGTTAGCAGTTTTACAAAGTATAAATATCATACCATGTGTTCTCTTTGAGAAAATAAAATGTTAAAATTGATTTAGCAACTATATCCTCGTTTTTGGTGCTTTTAAGCACATTTCAAAGGACATTTCATTGTTTTGAATATTAAACTTTTACACTTTGCAATAACAGTTTCTGTTGAAAAACATTTTATTAGCCTTGTAATGCATAACATATAAAATAATGTAATTCAATACTAAGTTGGGGTATCTAGTTTTCGAATCGGTCAATGGAATTTTCTATTTTTAATTCACTATTGTTGCTACATGTTCATTGGTTAGAACCTACATGTAAGTACCGTATAATACGCAACCACGTACGTACACAAGCTGCGTATAACTGCATGATAATGCTGGTTCTGCTATGATTCAATTGCAAGAGAAAACAGGATGTTGATTCGTTATTGGTGACGTGTGTAAAACACTGATATTGGACGGCCGGACGCCATAAGAAATCCGCAAGATGTGTGAAGGAGTTCCCCTTTGTCGTGTGTAAAAAGTCGTGTATCGTGAGTAAAGTCGTGGTAAAGACTTTACCCACGACTTTACCCACGACGCACGACTTTTAACCCACGACACACGACATATAGGGACACTCGTCTCAAGGTATAAATATCACGATTGTTTGGCGAATGCTTCACTGATTTCAAAATGTCTGAGGTAGTAACCGGTGTTGTGAAACTTACATTTGGATTTTTAGCGAACAAGATTCGCAGTGGAATTGTAGAACGTTTGAAAGATGGCGACGTCACGGACGAAGAATGTCGGCGCTTGATCGTCAGAGAACTTGACGATATCAAAAGCAAGTTGGACGGTTTGGCAAGAAAGGATTTACTGAGTAGCCTTTGCTTTCTACAAGAAGGAGTCAATGGACTATATCAGTCCATACTTCAATTGGATTCAAATGAGAATACATCAGAATCGATCGGTCAAGCGACCTTACTTGGAGCTGCGTCATCCAGAGACACTGTTCCTGATTCTCCTATCAACGAAGTTATTGCTCTTATAAATGCCATCACGTCATTGAAAATACGTTCAAACGACCACTTCAAGTCTGCAATAGAATCGTTCAAACTCGCGCGTGAAAAAGCGACCGAAGCGTTCTGCAACGAAGCGTTGTCGATCGAAGACCGAATTCAAGCGTCGCAGATAAGAATGATGGCGAGAATTTTAGAGAAATTGGAACATCCAGACGCAAGCGCTAGCGATTGCTTGCAGTACCTTCAAGAGCTTCATGATATCGGAGCTATTCAAGAAATATTTTCCGTTCTGTATGACGGAGGATTCAAGTCGAGGTTCAATAAAACTAAGCGACTTAACAATGCCTCGTCAGTTAAAGCAATGAATCAAGTATTGTTGGAGTTCGTCAAAAAGTTCACGAAACCGTCATTGCTCGCCTGGCCGACGATTTTGATCGGTGAGAAGAAAACTTACCATCCCTGTGGGATTGTACTTTAATTACTGCGCATGCTCCAAACCGGGCCTGCAATCCCAGAACGCGTTACAGCGGTCTGATATTGCCATCGTGCTGAGATTGTTGCTGCCGCAGCGAGCGAGCCTGAAGCGAGCGAGCAAGGCAGCAGATCCTAATTTTGTTTTGTGGGTCGAAATCAAAATTTTCTATTTGGCGCATTGCATGACGGTACCAGTGAATTTTAACCGTGGTGCAGCGCGGTCAGGCATAAGGCAAACAGGCAATGTGATCATGTTTCATCTTTGGGCTTCTTTTATGGAAAGCCATAGCTGGCTTAAAGTGATCAAACGGCATTTTGTTGGGTGCTTTTAGCATTATACGGCGGTGCTTTTGGCATTATACACGGTGCTTTTGGCATTATACACGGTGCTTTCGCCATTATACGCGGTGGTTCCAGTATTATACGCGGTGCTTTCACCATTTATATACGCGATGCTTTTGCAATTATACGCAGTGGTTCGAGCACTATATGCGGTGCTTTTAATATTATACGCGATGCTAGGTTTCATTCAACATTTCCATATTTTTTTCATGACATGTATATGATTTAACGATTGCTTAAATTTGGTATGTGCATGGTTGACAAATGCTTTTTGCCTATGGTCTGCAAGGACAATGACATGCTTTTCTGAGTATATACATTTAAATGAATATAACGCAGCGAATGCGCCAAACAGTATAAACGCGGCTGAAATACGATATTAAAATCTTAAATGTGCCGTATGATTTAATTATGTTTTAGGATTTACAAATGCTTTGTCATTTGTATTTATACTTGTACTGCATCACAAGGCAGTACGTACTGTAAGTGAAAAAACTCCACATGTGAGATTGTCTTGTATATATTTTTGCTTTCTTTGATAAACACTATTAAACACGCAAATTTTAATTAGTGAGACGCAATGTTAAATGTCACCTGCATGTCATTGTCATTGCCCTTTAACCCCTGGTCTAATTGGCCGCTTTTGAAAATATTGATCATGACGAACCGCACTGCCTTAATTAAATGCAAACTTTGTGTTTTAAAAACGGGTTTAATAGCCGCTTTTGAAAATATTGATCATGACGAACCGCACTGCCTTAAAAACGGGTTAGGATAAAACGCGGATACGGACGAACGGATGAATGACGGACGGACCGGACGGATGACATATATATGTCGTTATATAGTCTGCGCGCAGCCGCGCAGGGTAGTTAGTGCCTTACGTCTTCGCTGGTTGTTATACTTTAAAATAATTTTGTATGTACCAAGAAATCAATATTCCGAGTATATAAATATATAAACTGGGATGTCACACTGATAGCTTGTTTACATTTCCTGGAGCATCATGAAATCTTATGTTTAACCACGGTGGTTTAACTCATTAGCTGGCAATGCGTCCTTCCCTTGTCGAGCGCCAGAAGATTTTACTCGTCAGTGGTATAGGGTACTGCCAGTAAATGGGTTAACAAACCTATCTGCCAATGGCTCTTGTTAATTCATCAGCACAGTAATGACCTTTACTTTAGTATTTAACCTGTCCAACGCCAGACGATTTTTAATACTCAGTCAGTGGTAGGGTACTGTCAATAAATGGGTTAACAAGGATGACAATAATTAGCCTGCATGGCAGGCGGTATTTCCCAGGCATGCCCAATTTTAGGAACCGCCTGCCATGCAGGCTAAACAATAATAGGATGTTTCTGAAGGACTCGTTCAACACCCTGTAGTTTGTCTTTTGCTGTCAAAGGCAGCATTACTGCCCTGTGGGTAACCTAGTTATATCAATAATACATGGCGTATTAGACTTTAAAATACTACATACATGCACAAAAATATGGCGTCATATCACCGCCAATATTCATGTATATCAGCACCTACGTGCTTTCGACATTGAAGATAAATCTGACATTGAACATGCAGAACATTCAACATATTTTCGACATTAAAGTTAAATAGGACATTCAGCACCTACGTGCTTTCGACATTGAAGATAAATCTGGCATTGAACATGCAAAACATTCAACATATTTTCGACATTGAAGTTAAATATGACATTGAACACCCACGTGTTTTTGACATTGAAGTTAAACCGGACATTGAACATGCCGCGAATTTAGCACCCATCACAACTTCAACGTTCAAAATATGTTGAAAAAAATTACCACATGTTGAATATTGGCGGAGTTGAACGATAGCGTCAAATCTCCGCCAATATTAATTAAGCTAACACAAGACAACCCCCCGGCCAAATTCATTCGTATCCAGACCTCTGGAACATATCACATGACGCAAGCCGAGGGTCGGATTCGCTGCATCTTGTCGCTGTATTGGAGGCCGTATATTCACCATAATATTCGCGTATATTCGCTTGTTTGTCTTAAATTAATTGACTTTTATTGTGCAGATTGAATTGCTAGAGACGCAAAAAACGCAAAATCTGGTAGAATGAACCCAGAGGCAATAATTTCCGCAAGAGATGCTCTGTTTGAAGTTGCTGAGCGATTGAGACAACAGTCACAGCTGTATTTTATTTATTAGATTATATTTTAAAAATTCCTAATCATCGAATTATAAATAATCGATACATTTTAATATTTAGAGTGTACTTGGCAA